TCACTCAACAACAACCAAATGTTACATTCCAAGAAAAATATTCCTTTACAGGATGGGTCTCACCCCAGTAGCCACTAGGTTATGTTGAATGTAAACAACAACAACAAAAAGATGTGGGTTTTTGCTGCTTTTTACTATATCCTCCTTAAATCTTGCTCTTATTCTGCTCTTCTAAAACGTGGTGGTACAGCTGTTCCTCACTCCTGGGAACATCAATTCCAGGTACATAAATAAAGAAGCACAGTCTCATCAATGAACAGCTTTCCATGATCTCCCCAGAGCCCCCGACCCTGTATAAAACACATGGGATCTTTTGCTAGCCACTAAATCACCAAAGAATTTCAGAGACATACTAGATACCAAGCATTAAAGCAGTTGTCCTGGTCCCCAAAGAGCTTAGTCTGTAGGGAAGAGAAATGAAAAGGAATAGACATTACATCACAAGTGAACCATCAGAACCATGGCACACTTTTAGAATGTAGGTTCCAAGAGGGCAGGGATTTAGCTTGTTCTTATTGCAATAATTCTCTGAACCAGAGCAGTGCCTAGCACACAGCAGGCATCCAATCGATGGGGAGTGAGTACATGTGAATATGCCACAGTGCACATATTTTGATGATAGAAGATTTGCCCAAAGACGGTTACAGCTAGCATTTGTTAAGCTAGGCACTATGCTAGGCACTTGCCAAAGGCAATCTGATTACTGTAATCACAATGAATTCATCCCCCTCGTGCATATGGGGATGAATCATTCCCATCTTGAAGATAAACAAATTAATGTGCAGAACTAGAAGCTCAAGACCCACTGGGCACATGGTAGCCAGGGAGTGACTCCCAAAGGGTAGAGTGGAGAGACAGAGGAAAGAATAACGCAGAAGGGAGTACTGAAGATTGAAGAAGTAGGTCTTTCCCCAATTCATTGCAAAGGTTTTCATCACTCTTTTCATAGCAGCTGAAGTCTTCCCTACTCCTTGGATAGGAGCACTTCAAGGGAAACACTAGTAACCTGGCAAAGTACATTTAAGTAGGACAATATCTACATTGTTCAGGTGGAATGACCCAATTCCAACCCATTTTAAAATCAAAATAAGTCCCAGACCCTGCCACTTACAGAGGAGAGCTATGAGGAGACAGGGAGAAGAGGCAACTCTCAAACCTACCTGCACGTTTTCTCTGAGAGCAGCCACCATTTCCAACACACACAATGGTATGAATCAAGTGTCTTGCCAAATGATACTTAAGAACTGCTTCATAACCCCATACCCACAGTCCTCACTACTTGCACTAATGTAAGAACCTACAAGCCCCATAGGATCATGACCCATAGGATAAAGAAAATGTTCCTCCTTCCATTTGCCCTCATGGGTCAAGAATAATCTGTTTTAATCTTGGCAATAAATATTGATTGAGTATCAGCTGTCTACAAGGCACTGCGCTCTATGTCCTTGGCATCCAAGGGCAATCAATATACTCTATTGGAGGCAGACAGGCAAGAAAATACAAAAGAAAAACAGAAGAACATTTCACGCAGTGGTGAGTACTAGACAAAAATGAAGAAAATGATCATAGAGAAAGTGAATGGGAAGTGAGGGCTTCTTGAAAGCCTTTGAGCTAAGACCAGAGTGATGAGGAAGAGCCATTCTCAGCCCAGCAGGGAAAACCGGAAAACAGCAAGAACAAAACCCCTGAGATGGGAATTAATTTGGTGTGTTTGAGGCTAGGAAAGCCAGGTGGCTAGGGCTCCAAGATGAGCAGAAGGTGAAACAGAAAATAAGTATGGGTGAGTCAGAGATGAGCCAAATCAGATAGGATCTGATAAGGAAATTAGAAAGACAGAATGCTAGCCGGGCGCTGGTGGCTCATGCCTGTAATCCTAGGAACTCAGGAGGCTGAGATATGAGGATCGAGGTTCAAAGCCAGCTCAGGCAGCAAAGTCCGTGAGACTCTTATCTCCAATAAAAATCACCAGAAAACTGGAAGTGGCTCTGTGGCTCAAGTGGTAGAATGCTAGCCTTGAGCTGAAGAACTCAGGAACAGTGCCCAGGCCCAGAGTTCAAGCCCCACGACTGACCAAAAAAAGAAAAGAAAAGAAAGATAGAATGCTAAGTGGAACAAGATGCCATTGGACCTTTCACACAATAGAGTAACAAACTAATATTTGCCTTAAAAGGTTCACTCTGGATTTCATTAAAAAAAAAAAAAAAACTTGCCAGGTGCTGGTGGCTCATGCATATAATCCTAGCTATTCAAGAGACTGACATCTGAAGATGGTGATTCAAAGCCAGCCCAGAAAAAAAGTCCATGAGACTTTTATCTCCAATAAACTACTCAGAAAAAAAAATTGAGAGTGATAATGCTGTGGCCTAAGTAGTAAAGTACTATTCTTGAGCAAAAGCAGCTCTGGGACAGCACCTAGACCCAGAGTTCAAGCTCTAGGACTGGCAAAAAATAATTAATTAATTCCACTGGTGACAGTGGCTCCTACCTGTATCCTAGCAATTCAAGGAACAGAGAGTAGGAGGATCACAGTTTGAGGCCAGACTTGGCAAAAAGAAAAAAACCTTGCAAGAACCCATCTCGACCATTAAATACATGCCTGGGATACCAGCTACACAGGAAGTATAAACAGGACAGCTTGGGCATAAATGCAAGACCCTATTCAGAAAAAAAAGAAAGCATAAAGGACTGGAGGCATGGTTTAAGTGGCCTAGCACCTGTTCAACAAGCATGAGACTCTGAATTCAAACTCAAATACTACAAACAACAAAAAAAAGAACAATAAAAAGCAGGAAAAATATAGGCTGGTCTTCATTTTACCTGGGGTGCCATCTGACAGAAACAGAGTTCATAAACATGCCAATATCCAACAGGGTCCAAACAAACAGTGACCAGATACATATACTTCTAAGAATGCACTTCAATAGGTAGGGCCACATTTCCTTATTCTTTTTTTTGCTACTCCAGCACCCCACTACAGTAATGGGGCTTCAATTCTGCTCAGATCAATTTTTCCAAAACCCAGTTTCTCCTCACTCATCCTTTTTCCCTTTATGAATGAGGGTGAAAAAAATAAGGCATTATGCCGATGACACAAAAATCTTACCACCTTAAAAAAAAAAGTCCTAAAGAAAACACACAAGAGTTGTATTTCAGGGCAACAACATAAATACCTCCAAAACATATAGATTCAAGCACTAATCAGAAAATCCCAAGACAGACAGAAAGCAACAATCTTATGTCCAGAGTCCCAGACCACCACCTCTGCTGACCCCTTGGTTGGTCTGAGGTGGTGAATGATGCCGACCTTCAGGATGATGCAGAAATCAAGATGTTTTCCAAAGACTGGTTGGCTTGACAGTCATTCACTAAACAAGGAATACCAGGAGAACATTTTCTCAGCCACCAACATACCAAAGATCATCCATGTGAGGCTATATTTGTGACAACACCATGCCAAAAATCTGGGCTAATCTGACTCTGCTATTCATAAATTCCCCCCTCATGTTAAAGCACATGTGTTTAGGAAGGAAAAAAAAAAAGAATCCAAGTCAATTTTAGACATCGTAACTTGGAAACCATCTGGAGTCGCTGGAACGGTAAGAAACCACCACATCCCCATCCCCTGCCCTCAAATGCCCACTGTATCTAGGGCAGTATGTTTAGACCAATGGGAGTTTAGGTGTCCTCTACTCCCTAGGGAAATCCCCACCCCCAACCCTACCAAGTGCCAGCACAAGCTCCACTTCCCACCCAAGGAAGGTATTTGGTTTCTCGGTGAACCCTAGTGGAGAGCCCTCGATGTTGTATAGAGCTGGCACTTGAACCGCACCCAAGGCTGGGTGAGTTCTTTGCTTTGCTATTGCTTTAGAACTGCACCCTAAATTCCTTTACCACAACAGACATGGGAAACCCTCCCCTGGGCCCAAAGAGTTCCATGAAGGAAAGAAAGTAAAAATCCCCTCTTCCTAAAAATCCTGTGTTCACAGCATCTCTAGTTTTTGGAAGAGACCCACCAGAATCTTCCTTATGTAACCTTAATAGATGCTGCTGCTGGCACCCCACAGGGCCGCTCCTGAAGACACTGGCCCAGATCTAGCTCGTTTTCACCAAGAGGAGAACAGACAGGGTCCTTGCAGCTTCCCAGGGCCGGGCTCTTCTGGGCTGTGGGACCTCTGTCCCCCCTCACCTTACCTGGCTGCCATTCTGAGCTTATCTCCTCACCTAAAGAAGCTGGACCTCCCTTTGGGCAGCCCTCCCCCCCTCCTCCCCCCCTCCCATCCTCCCTCCTCTGAAATCAGTCTTAGGACCATGCCCACAGCAACGCCATGCCACCACCAAGTCCCTTCCCTCCCCTCCCAGGCTCTCCCCGCCATCCTCTGGCCACCACCAAAAACGCGTGAAGAAACCCAGCCAGGACAAGCGATCCCAAATCTCGTCCAGTCATAGTCCCTAGAAGCACACAGGGCGGGAGGGGCAGGCCGACCAGGCCCAACACTCCCCCCCCCCCTCATCCCCACCCGCTTCTCGGACAGCGAGACAGCCTGGAACATCGGCGCAGGGGCCGGGAAGGGATCTCCGGAGACTGACTGGGGTTGCTGGCGGCTTCCAGCACCACCCGAGCAAAACACCTGTTTCCAGGAAGATGGGCAGCCGCGGGGAGAAGGAAGTCCCGAGGAAAGGAGAGGAGGACGAGGTGCCGGGGAGGGGGCGGGCAGCCGGAGACGCAGGTGAACGGTGCGTCACACCCGGGCGCTTGGCAACCCGGACCCGCCTGCAGCGAGGGGAGAGGAGGAGGCTCCGGGGGTCTGAAGTTCGAGGCGAAGAGGGAGGCCCCCGCCCTGGGGGCGCCGGGGACCGCGTCGGGGAGTGGATAGGGGTGGGGAGGGGAAGAGGCCGGCGAGCGCGCGGAGAGGGCAGGAGGCCGGCGGGCTCCATCACCTGCGCGCCCCGCGGACGCAGCCGAGCCCCGCGGGCGCGCACGGCCCCGCGGCTTGACCTACCTGCCCACCGTCTGGTTGGCCAGCTGGCGCATGCGGTTGAACTGCTTCTTCATGGTGGTCTCCGCTGCCTGGCTCGTCCGGGAGCTGGAGGAGGACGGAGCAGCCCGGAGCCCGCCGCAGGGTTACATGGCTCCCGCGCGCGGAGCCTCCGGGCGGCGGCGGCACTGCGGTGCGTCCGGGAGCCGTCTGGCCCGCGCGCGGCTCCCTCCCGAGGGCACCACCGCCTACTTCTCCTCCTCCAGGGCCGTCTCACGCCGCATCCTGCTCAGGCGCGGAGCGGCGCCCTCATAGCGACGCCCCGGGGCCGACCTCGGTGGCCGCCCGGTCTGCCCGGGCTGCAGCCCCGCAGCCCTCCCCCCCCCACCAAGCCCCAGCCCGGCGCGCGCGGACTCGGGAGTCTCCGCAGGCTGGCTGGCCGGCTGACTGGCCGGGAGGTCCTTGTGCGCCTGTGCGGAGGCGCGGCGCATGCTGGGACTTGTAGTTTTCTCCACCCATACCCACCTTTCCTCTGTCCAAAGTTTGCAAGGAAAATGGAGAGCAGAGGTGGGAGAGGGCAGCTACACCACCACTTTCACACTTTACCGTGACTGTAAAAATGTAAGTAATGCTCTTCAAAAAAAATGCCGTGAAACCAGGAATACAACAACGAATAAGGAGAGTGAGGAGCATCTATCTGCCTCTTATTGTATCTTCAGTAAGCCTTAGGCATCACTGGCTGGGTTGTCAGAAGGAAGGACTATGATAACAGGTCGGTGACTCATGAAATTGTACAAGGTCACCTAACCCTTGGAGAGGTCGAGGATTATGCTTCAGGCACAGAGAATGATGGCAGTTTTTGAACCAAGTATAGCAAGCTTCTCAGAAGTATCATCCTTAAAAGCCAGGCCCCCGTGGCTCACGCCTGTAATCCTAGATACTCCAGAGGCTGAGATCTGAGGGTCATGGTTTGAAGCCATTCAGACAGGAAAAGTCCAGGAGACTCACCTCCAATTAACCGCCCAAAAGCTAGAAGTAGAGCTGCGGTTAAAGTGTTGGCGTGAAAAAGCAAAGGGACAGATCCCAGTCCCTGAATTCAAGCCCCCACACAAAAAAAGAAAAAGGAAAAACACATGTCTTCCTTAATTTTCACGTCCAGTGGATAAAGGCAATAATGAGTGTAATCATAATGGCATCTGATTTACTGGCCCAACCTGACAGCCCAACCTATGGCTTAGATTCTCATCCCTTAGCTATTCCCACCTCCTGTCTACTACCAGAAGGTGGAGAGGCAAGAACATGGCAGTTCATTGGCCTCCTTGCAGAAGGCTCAGGATTTTCTCAAGATAGCTACTGCAGTTAAATGTTATCATTGAATACCAAGTAGACCAGTATTGCTGAGTAGTAGGGGCTTTAGATCAACCAGATAGAGGTTCTTGTACTAGAATTCCACATCCCTACTATATAACTTCAGAGTAATTACTTAGCTTTGCTAAGCTTCATTTTCCTCATTTCTATTGGAGAAATAATGGTGGCATTTGTTAGATGGAAAATCAAGTATTTGTTAAATAAAATTGCATATAAATGTATATGTGGCGCATTATGTCATATCCATCTACAGTGAGCAAAGCTCTGGTGGTTACTAGCATAATAAGCAAAGAAATCCTAATCCTAAAACAGAATTTCTATTATGAAAGCCGAAAGACCTTTTTTTTCAAAACGGGATATTTTGCATATGTCAATGATAGTGGAAAGATGTCCTAAATATGGCTGTAAGTGTTTTTATTGGCCAGCTGAACAAAAGATGGTTTGAGGCATGTCTTGGCTGAATGAACATGAAATCTTTAATTAATTGTGAATTTAGCCTCTGCTTATTAGGTCAGACAGCTCCAGCTAATTATCAAGTGGACACATTATTTACTTTTTTACTAACTGTATATGCCTATGATGTTAATAGAATGTTTATACAAAACAAATTATTTCCATGTTGGATTTTTAAGACAGTATTTTTAAATATAGATTTTAAGATATTACAGCATGCTTTTATGGCATAAATAATAGTATGGTACCCTATGACTCTTTAAGAACACTATATCTGGGGGGAGGAGAAGGGTTGGGATTGGGGGGGAGGGGGGAGGCTGGGAAGGGATGTGAAGGGTAAACCAAAGGAGGAGGCTGCAATGCTTGGTAAGAAATGTACGCATTATCCTGCCCATGTAATTGTAACCCCTCTGTACAGTATGTTCACAAATAAAAAACAAATAAATAAAAAAAGAGCACTATATCTGATAATATTTAGACCTGGATTATCCAATGTAGTAGCTGTTGGCTACAATTTAATGACTTAACAGCAAATAAGGCATTTCCTACTTCCTATTCCAGGAGAGGGATTACAGTGCAGAAAAAAAATAAAAATGGATATCAAGGCCATTATTTTGAATTTGCAAAGCAGAATTCAGAGACAGTAGTTTTTGAAGAGGTTTGAGTATTAAGAATATGAATTAGGAGCTGGGGTCCAGTGACTCATGCCTGTAATCTTCATTACTCAAGAAGCAAAGACCCATGATATAGCAGTTCAGCAAAAACACGGCTGGAGGCATAGCTTAAGTGGTAGAATATAACTGAAGAAGGCCAAGTAAACCTGAGTAAGTCCAACTCCAGTACACAATATGGAATTAGAGCTTTAATTTAGATCAGTTGAAAGAACTCATTGGCTGTGGGATGTTGAAGATGGTGATGGGGAAACAGAATGAAAGGGAAATGGGAGGAACTAAGGAGGGAAGAGAGAGGAGAGGAAAAAGGAGGAGGAGACAGAAAGAAGGAAAGGGAGAGAAGAGAAAGGAATGACATGTATAAATTGTCCTAAAAATTTTCTATCCTCATGGCAAGGGATTTTACCTCATTTTTTTCTCTGAGATCAACCCCAGTCCCTGTGATTATCTTTCGACGGTGAATAGGACAAAATATTCTCTCTGTCTTTTTTAGTCCACCATAATACCAGTGATGAGTGGCTTGGGGACTGATGTGGAGCAGAGTAATGACCATCCACTGGAAGTGATCAAAGTTCCCTTGACTGTATTAACCCAGAGGTTGGTGAATCTTTGTTATTGTGATGGAATTGAGTCTGTGTTGACTGCTGCTTGGCCATCACTGAGAAAGTGGTCCTTCCCTTTCCACAGTCATGGATCAGGCAGCCTAGAGGCAGATGATGGATTTGGGAGCAGTGGATAATCTGCCCTCTGCTTCTTGGATGAAAGCTAGGAATGGCAAAACATGCAAAAATCCTCTATCTTCCAAGACTCAAGAGTAGAAAATTGGCTTCGTGGAGTACCTGTGGTGCCATCAGCACAGTCCTGGGCAGCCCCAGACATCCCTGCACCACAACCATGTGCTATGGTTTGATCTCTATGTATGTGTGGTGTCACAGAGGTCTATGAAAATACCCATACATAAAGTATGAAAAAACTGTAGAATAAGCAGAAGGTAGCAATGACCAAGATGCAAAATAAGGCAGAAATATCTCAAATTTAATTTCTGCCACCTAGAAAATGAGAGTAAATAGATAACTTGATATGCAAAACCAAAAGAGGAGAGAGAAGAGGAAAGACAAGAAGACAGAGAAGGAAATTCTCTCTCTCATACACTCAGTTTTGGTCTATAGGCCCTTCCCTGTACCTACTGATCTTCTTCACGTTTGGCCACATGATTTACCCTGGTCAACAGAATATGTGCTGCTTACTTTGCCTCAATTTTATTTATCTGAAATAAGTTAGAAATCTGACATCCTGGCCAGGGCTGCTGAATTAGGATCATTTTAGCTTGTGTTCTAAGTGCAAGGATCATAACAGCTGCTCTGTCAAACACCAGAGCCGGGAGCTACAATGTGGTTACCAGAACTTAATTTTTTATTAGATTAAATAAAATTTAAAAGCCATCTACAATTACCCACATTCCAAGTGTATGAGAACAGAAAGTTCCATTGGATGGGGCTGCTGTGAAGAATATGATTAAGAGAGTATTAGAGGAGAAACAATACCAAAATGCATTGTATTTGTGAATGGTAAAGTAAAAGTCACAGGAGGCTGCTGAATAATAGTGGGTAGTGGGAATGGAGCAAGTAAGAATAATCAAGTGGTCATTCTGATTAAATTTGTGTGTGTGTGTGTGTGTGTGTGTGTGTGTGTGTGTGTGTGTAATATACCACAGTGAGATCTCTTTCAACAATTAGCATATGCTAAGGGAAATGAATGACAGGAATGTAAACCACGTCCTGTCTGGGTTGTTAGTATAAGAGGGAAGGGGAAGTGTAAATAGAAGATAAAAGAATAAGGTCAAAATGCTTGATGTGTACATGTGAAAAATGGAAAAGTGAAGCTTGTTGAGATTAGTTTAGGAAGGGAGGAGGAAGAGGGAAAGTGACCTAACGACATTATATGCATATATAGAAATGTGAGAATGAAACCCCTTTCTACTACTAATTGATGCTATTAAACACTGTGAGGCAAAGAGAATAAAATTTGGACTATAGGACCTAATAAAAAACAGAAAGCTAAAGAGGGTATCAGGTAATTACCTTACCTCTCCAGGTCATGGTTGTCTCATTTACTACATGGAGGATTTGATATAAGAACTTTTAGCTATAAAATTATTGCATTCTTCTAGAATTCCAGTCACCTTCATAAACACAGGTATCAAACACGACTGTTGGTCCGAAAGCATCTTTTCAACAGGCTGATAGAAGCTATCATCTACTACATACACAGCCAATTGCATCATTAACTCCAGTATGTCAGCCTTTCTTGGGTTTGTACCTTTATCTATACTTTTACAGTTTCATCATCAGAGAAGATCTGCCCCACAGCATAACCTTGTGTCTGGTCATGAGACCTCAGTGACATGTGCATCTTTAAGATACTCCATGTACTTTTCTCTCATCTTATTATAAGTAATAGCTTATCTCAACCTTTGCCCTGCAGGATGCACATTTGTGGAACACACCTGATCCATACCACTGTAGAAATTAGAGGAGGAGTTGAGAGATTTTCTATCTGGTAATTTTTTAAAGATAGGGA